AGTATGCGTGCTTTAGCATCATTGAACTGTCATATTGTAAACATTATCTCATCTGTCTGCCATCCTGCTCTAGACATCATCAGCATCGGCCTATAATCAGCACACACTGGTGAAAGACAATGCAAAGCTTGTATGACTCTCCATGACACTCTAGAGCCAGTATTTAGATGACTAAAGCTTTACACAACACAAAGTATATACACTTTACATTTGGAGCCAGCTTACCTAAATACTTGGGACTTTGCCATGACTGTTGAGTTGTGTAGTCAAAAGGTGCTAACAAGCTATCCACCTCTTCCACCCTGATAACTACACACAGAAAACAACTAAATGCCCAAACAGCTTGAATTATTTCTGCTTTTAGTTCTTCAAATGAATAATGTGATGCTGCTATCATGTTAATAGTTTTATAAATATAAAGCAATTACAGCAAGTCCTAACTATTTTACATTTTAGTGAATTTGTGGCTAATTTGCATTAATTAATGTAATCCCATTAGTAGGTTTTCATAAAATTAGCTTAAGCCTCACTGAGAGTTAGGTTTAGGGTGGAGCTTCATAACATTTAAAAAAAAAAAAATTCACAAATTACATGGTACGAATTCATACAAAGTCACATTTTGTCATGAGATCAGGTTGAAAAAAAAAAAAACACATGGCTTATGACGGGTCAAATCCAATACACAAAACAAACTGACCCTTCTCTACTACAGTGAATATCATGGTCACAGATCAAGCCACAGACAGCAGGTAGGTGAGTGAACAGGCAGGTTTATTGACAGGTTCGGAGAAGCAGATCGTAAGGAGCTAAGACAAGTGAATATCCAATACAATGAACCGTTCACAGGTTCTTAGCTGAATGCTGATGCGTGATCTCTTTGCAGCTTCGTTGGAGACAGAGGCCCAGGAATGGAGGAAGGAAGCGTCAGAGGATCGTTGGAGAATCTAGGCGTAAGTACACAAGGTAAGACCCGTACAGGCCATCTGGAACAGCTCAAGGAGGTGAACGGTAGACCGGACGGTGAGTGACTGCAAGGAGCGAGCTTTTGAAGATGGCTTGATTGGAGACGGCAGGTGCAGGTGATCAGAATACAGGTGAGTGTGATCTGGTGTGAGTGGTGATCGTGACTGCAAACAGGTGTAAGCCGGGGAGGATTCTGGGACATGGAGTCCAGAGCTGGTGACTGGTGACAGAGACTCCCTGACAATCATGCTTATGATTTATGCTTATGGTCATTTTGTGCAGATCCAGATTTTACATTTGACATCTTCTAGTAACCCAACCAGGGCTATTATAATTAATTAAAACTAAAACCGAAACTAAAAGTAAAACCATTAAAAAGCCTTTTCATTATTTGAAATAAATAAGTGTCAACTAATATTATATATATATATATATATATATATATATATATATATTGGTCAATGTTAGGATTGAAACCTCCCTCCTTTTTCAGTGGCTCGCACAGGAAACAGCATTTGAAGCAATCATTTCCTCTCTGCCCCGCTCAAGATAGACCCTCTGTCCGAGAAGATGAGCGGG